AGATGTCATGACATCTGTCTTGACATCTTGATTAAAACACATGATAGCAGTTCTGTCTTGACAGTAGATGAAGATGTTATAACAGCTTGCTTAACATCAGTGCAGAATCATGTTTTACCAAAATTCAGCCAATCATAGAACCATGGACAATCATAGAATCATGGAACTAATACATATGACAGTTAGTTGCACGTTGTTTACAAAAATATATTTGCATCATTTACTATTATTGTACCACTTTCATAACACGTGTGCTACGTCATTACTAATTATTCGTTTGTACCATTTTTAGGCATGGATTCTCTAGCACTTTCCATGGATGAATTCTCTCTTCTTAGAGGTATTTAATTGATCGAGCCCTTTAGAGCGTTTCTTGACCGCACTGCAGTAGATGATATACGCTTCTGGTTGTACGATGATCATCGTCAGACACGTCCCTTGGATGACACAACCTTTTACTATTGATGGTTGGCTTGTGGGTCACGTCTGATGTATCCACATCTGCCTGAGCGAGTCATGCTCCATTCCACATTTATGTAAGTTATTCCATGAGAATCCTTCTTGTCTACTCCTCCCGTTATAGTCTGTATAGATGTATGATGATTTCCTTAGTCATATGGTACCAGATGAATCATGAAGTGTGGCCGCTCCTCACGAATGAAGTGATGCATTCAGATACATCCAACAGTATTTTAGAGTCTCACATCCTTTCATGACACCAAATACTCTTGGAGATCCACCTATATCAGCTCATTATGAGATATTACAAGAGGAGCATGCTAGGACAGATCATGTCGTTGATGTGTTACCTACATGTCGTCATATTATAGATATTGCAGGTATAGAAATGAGGGACTTTCCAGAAGGCACTTTTGGGATGGTCGTTATAGTTGACAATCTATCCAAGACATTGACATCATTGTAGTACAAAAGATAACAAAGGAAAAATTGGTCTTATATACCCAGTAGGATAGTGTTTGTAATTTTTTATTTTAATAGTATTATGGATTTTGGATTGATTCTAATATATGACATTTTCATCTTATTAAATCAGTGTATGATTTAATTGATAAAAAAGTTATGATGGTATAACTATAATACAGGATCTATTACATCAATGTATTTCTAAAAAAATAAAAAATTACTATCTAAAGACTGATTACGGAAATTTATATCTATATTTGTTACAGAGACGCATCTTCAAACTAAATTATGACAAAATAAGAGTGACTCGGTTACAAATTAATGGAGTGCATATAAAATTATTACAAAGATACATCTCCGGACTCATTTATGACAAAATAAAAATGTTAAGTTACACGTTGATTTGGTGTTTATCGATGTAGTCGAAAATATACTTCCGAATTATTGAAGAGCAATTTTGAATTTAAATATGATAGCTCCTCATCACTAACTGTGTGTTTGGTTCGGGGTAGATGGAGGGGAGGGGAGGGGAGGGAAAATTTTTAATTAAATATGTTTGGTTCAAATTTTAAGAGGGGAGGGGAGGGGAGCAAAATTCCTCCAAAACACACTTTTTGGTTCTCTCCGAATTGGGGGGATTTGGAGGGGAGGGGATATGAGTTTTGATATTTAAATATTATTCTATTTACTAAAATATCCTCAGTTTAATTTTATTATTTTAAAACTATTTGTTATCTTTTGTGTTAATGTTTTTTCTCGATTGTTTTCATCATCTTATTATAATTGTTCTCCACCTTCAAATTATTTTATAATTTTTATAATTAATATAAATCATAATCATTGTCTTTTTTTATAAAAAAAATTATGTTTCGTTATATTCGTTTTTTTCTTTTAATATTGTTATGTACTCTATCATATTTTCTTTTATATCAAATTGTAAATCATATCATTTTATTTATTTTTGTTTATTCATTTTATTAAATATTTTGAACCATTAATATTTAGTAATAAATTATTTTATATATTTGTTTTGTGATATGATTCATCACAATTTAAACGATGTTATTCGCATATAGTTTAATTTATGTTGAAAAGTTATAAGTCGAATCGATTGTACTAAATTTTTTAACTTTATGTGACAAATAAATATTTTCTTAATCACTCAATATTATAAATTTTATTACCAACAAAAATACGCACGAATTTTTCACATTTTAATATCATATGACTTATATAAGATCATAAGGATAAAAATGTAAATTATTAATAAAACTCCTCCTCTCCCCTTCTGAACCAAACACATTTTTAATTAAAATCCCTTCCCTCCTCTCTTTTGAACCAAACACTTATTTGATTAAAAAATTCCTTCCCCTCCCCTCCCCTCCCCTCCCCCTCATTTGAACCAAACAGACCCTAAAGGTGGGAGAAGTAACGGGGAGAAGTAATGCACTTATTTGAACGGTTGAAAAATACTTATTCATAAACCAAGATTAATGATTCAATTATTTAACAACAATTTGGTTCAAACTCTATGATTCAATTCGGTTCTCTAGATTTTTTTTTAACAGTATTGCAATAAAGTTAGCCGATTAGGTGTGAAGATCATGCTTTTCTACTAGGAAAAAATAAATTTTAGTCTCAACATTATGCTATAAAAAAAACAAAAGGAGTCCACACAAGTCATCTATAAAAAGAAAATAGGGTACTTAGCTTTAAGCATATGAAGTTCATAATATTTCACATATTTGTTAATTGCCTCATTCGCAGGGGGCCTACTGAAAAATTGCCTCAAATCCTTTGCGGCATTGGCGTTGATTTTGGTGTAGTCAAATTGGCAAAATTTCATGACTAAAACAAAGAAATAACAGATGCTTAATCTCCACCCTTCATATAGCAATCGAGAACGAAACTGGAAGCAAGCCCCCTAAGTATGATACATTGATGATTAGATCCTTTTAAGACCGTTAAAATGTCCAGTAGGGGAGGGGAATGGGGCTTGATGAGCATATTTCATAACTGCAAGCGTACATTTTGCACAACTATTTACTGGTTGCAAATTAAACACCTCAAAAATTTTAGGAAACCAATTGCTCTACAATCTTAATATATCAGTATAATTCTGCCTTCTGGTCTCTATCTGCTTCTTACAAAAGATTAGCTTCCAATGCACTAACTGGTCCTGATTCCCATTACTTGTCAATTGAAGTTAGTCCTAACCAGCACTTCACCTTTAAAAGAATTGACTGGATCAAACAATGATAATAGGTTAATATTGCAAGCCAATCACTGCATATAACAAGAATACGCAAGACTAGATAACAAGCATTTAAAAAATATAATATTATTTTGGTGAGTAGACGGTTCCTTCATTTTAAAGTTATATATGGACAAGATTGGACAAGATTCAAGCAGGTCCTCTGACTTAGTCATTTTGGATTTTAATATGACACTGCAGGTAACAAATTGAAAATAATCAAGTAACTTGTCGAGTAAGTTGCAAATACTGATCAGTATCGTATGGTTTTGACATTGTAAATGTCGAGAGAAAAATGGAAGATGGGTCTATTTTATTGTAACCCGTGAAATTCTCCTATTACCCAAGGATGAGTACTGTTTCTCTACAGCATTAGTGTCTATTCACTCATTCCAGTTCTCACGTATCATACTTGATAAAAAAAAACAGAATGATTTTTATGTATAATGGGGAGTTGGAGACAGTATTGGGGCCCAAAAGGAAAAGGAGTGGCGAGGAAAAGCCAAACCAGTTATCAAAAATAAAGTCAAATCACAAATCACAGACTTCCACCATACAAAATGGCGGGTCATGTATTTGAAATATTAAATAACTCCAAGGATTTTTGATACAGTGGTATAAAAAAGGTCTTGGATCCGAAGGCCCTATGTTAAAGTTCCACTAGTATCCTTGGAGGAAAGTAAATATAAATTCTTGTGAGTGCGCTCTTTGAACACTAATATTTCCTAGCTTGTACATTGACACTTCCTTCACTCTAAATTTTCTTTATAAAAATTTGAAATGTTTAATGTTTCCATCTACATGAACTTGCTAAACATTCTTAATATGTATTCCGTGTATTTAGCTTTCTTCCTTGGCATTTCAATGCTCTTGCTATTTTGCTTTTTTAGTTCTATTTACTTTATCATGAAATTAGAAATACAAGCTATTGATTACTTATATTCAAACAATGGTTTGACGTATCATAAGAAATATACCATTATAGTTTCTAGGTTTAAATATGCAATTGATCCTCTTAAATATACTATCAAGAGTTTTTAATTTAAACAATAAAGCACGCACTCCAACACAAACACAACACGATGACCTCCAAAAACATGGGACACCGACACCACTACATATATCATAGTATTTGACCTTCATTATCCATCTATTATTAAAAGAGTTAAAAATATTTTAATCAAAATTAATGTTTTTAAATCTTCATAAATAACATTGTTTCAATACATGTTTCATTAATAATCCTTTTAGATGCATAAGATGTGTAACAAATAAAAAACAATTTTTTTTAAAACACTTGTCTGAATTGTCTGACAAATGTTGTATGAGTATCATACCGGTGTCGAACATCGATTCAAAGAGTGTTGAAGCAAAGAAAAAAAAAATATTTTCTGGGACACTAGTCTGACTTTTCCGATTGTCATACAAGTGTAGGACATTGTGACAGGCCTACTCATAGAGGTGTCCATGCTTCATAGATTTAATCCCTAAATTTTCATTTTATTTAGTCCTAGTAAATATACCACTTTATATTTTTGGTCATTGTTATTTGATTTTAGTCATAGTAAAATTTATTCATATTGAAATTGGTTATAGGTAATATGTAGAATATTTGCAAGGACTAAAATTTAAATTTAAAAAAAAAAAAATTTATAGACTAAAAGCAAAAAATGATACATTTGCAGGGACTAAAAGCATATTAAAACTTAACTTCTATCCATAAAAGATATGGAAAAAATGAAAATATGTACTCACATTGTCAAAATGGTAGAAGATGATCCATTAATAAGAAGGCGTGAACTTTTTCCATATCTACTTTATATTATTTTGTCCCAACAGAAGAAAGGTTTTCCTGGCTGGATGCCCGAACTGAATTTCCTGCTGCAGTTGCAGACATTAATGGGTTTGGATGCGTAGTAGCTGCAGTGCTCCCAGGTCTAGAAATCTGTGGCCCTTGAGGATTCATGACGATTTGTGGTCTTGGGAGGGAGTTTGCAAAATTCGTAGGAATTCTATTGGTTAGTATGGATGGTGGTACACCTCTGGATGATGAAGCCTGTATACCAAGGCGAGATGCAATTATCATAGCACGCTCATGGTAAAGCTTATGCCGCGACTGCTCTAAATGCTCCTTTACTCTCATCACCACATTTTCCATATCATTGAAAAAAGCCAACTTCGTTTCCAACTTATGCAACTGTAAGTTAATGGAATTTACAAAGTCACAGGAACATTAATGATAACATATAAATACATTGCAGTGAGAGCTTTACCAGGCCACAAGATTACCTGCTTTTCTATCAATGATGAAGTCAGTTGTCGGATTTGATCTTCTTCTTGATTTGCTAGAAGTTTTGCCTTCACTGCTGCTGCCGCTAGTGTAGAAACAGCTGCGCGTTTCAACTTCTCAAAGCTGCTATCCTGTTTAGTCTTTGTGCCATCATTTTTCACTTCCATAACATTTCCTGCATGATCTTCAACTGCCCCTGCAATAAAGGTTTTATTCATTTTTGTGGACTAGAATGATATTTTATGACAAAGACTCCTCAATACAGAATTAGACCGTCCTTATACTATATTCCTTGACGAATGTCATGAATAACAACAGCGCGATATTTGAGTATGTAAGTGTCTAGAGAGAGAAATAGAGACCTGTACTTGCACCATTTTCAGCACCCAAACTAATTGGAAGTGAAGGTGGCATCATCTCTACATCCTTTTGTGTCCCATTATCTTGGGAAGATATTACTGGCTGGGAGTCGATCTTTGCTGGCAATGAATTAGAAACTACATCAACATCCATTGCAGAATCTGTAGTTTTATGAGACTCCGAGACTGCATTGGTAGATAGTTGTTTCTGAGGCTTGCTGTCATCTGAGAGCACAGAATCAGACACTATTTCATCATATTTTGGTGTCTCTACTGGCTTAGGTAGCTCAACTGGTAAACTGGGTTCATTTGACTGTTGAACTTCATTCTTTTCAGATGGATGAGAATCAGACACACTTCCTTCTTTTTTTAGCTCTATAGGATGGCAAGGTTCTTCATTTGAAGTTCCCTCTTGAACCTCCTCAGAACTAGGTGGAATTTTAGCTTTGGATGTTGAACCATCTGAATCATGCAGAGTATCCTGAGCCTGATCTTCGGGTGCCTTTGAAATGCTGGGATCATCACAATTGTCAAGCCCACTCTCATGATTAATCATTGCTTGCTCCTTTGAAGTTGACTTTTCTGAGAGTCCATCATCTGTAGAAGCCAGGTGTATCTTGTCTTCTGAAGCATCACTTGCAATTTTCATATTCTGGTGATCGTTTTCTAAATCTTTATCATCTAACATTGCTGTATCCTGTTGTACAATTTTGTCAGACTGATCTCCCTCACTTTTAAAATCCCTATGATCCATTCAGACACAACATTGTAAGTCATTATACAACAACAAGTGGACTAGTTACAGGACTACTAAGAAACGTAAACTCTTAATATTAATCACATACCTCTCAGAGGTAGTTGTTTCTTTCTTATCATCTGGTGGATCTTCTAGAAGAAAGCAACACCTTGAAGCAATCTCAGTGCCAGGAGCATTTCCAGACAAGGATTTTATGTAGTTATGAGCTGAAGCAACAGCCACATCAGAACTCACCAACTGCGCAAGGAAAACTGCCTGCAGAATAGCAACAAAACATTAAGCCAGCAAGATGGAATATGCAAGACTAATACATGGGAAGTATATAGATGACATGACATATGGAATGGAGAAACATTGCAATAATGTGGTAAAAACGAGAATTCAATAATAATAAACACTAGCAGTTTCATAAGTTTTGTCATCTGTGAGCAATAGGCATGAGTTGCAAGACACAGTGTACCAAAAAGAGGGAGCATCAGCGGTTACATCTAAATGTAACATGATATTTAAATATTTAATTCAAAATTACTGTTCTGAAGAAAGAAGTCTTCCAATGTATAATTCAGATTAGATAACTGTTGCCATACCCAAAAAAATGCTACTGTTCTTCACCTAACCCTTCAACTTACCAATGCCATGACAGGATTACCCACTTCGGCAAATGAAGACGGGCCTTCAGGTTCAAGAGAATAACCAACAGCTGCAAACGTTTCCTTAAGAGCATTTAAAACACAGTCATTATCTACTTCCTCATCCAACTTTACTTTAATGTCATCTTCTAATTTAGAAGTTCCCTCACTAGTTTTCTCATCACTACCATCTTGCAACTTTGGAGTCTCCTCTTGATTATCTTTCACTTTAACATCTTCAGCCTGAGAAGTCTCATCAAGGCCTTTAATGTTAGTGTCGTTCTCAATAACTTCTGAAGCATCTTTATCTTTATCTTCATCTACAGACAAATTGTTGTTTGTTGCAGCTGGATCTGCCATTTCTTTGCAACCAGCATCAACATCTTCATCACAGTCAACAAAGCTATCCTCAATTGGCATTTGAACAAAATGCAATATGCACTGAGCTTTTGATTTTGTTCCAACATGTTCTGCAATTTCATTCCAATTTTCTTTATAAAGTTCCAATGCTTCAAGGAGCAGAAGTGTCTCCTGATCAGTCCACTTTCCACTACTAACCCCAGCAGCTTCAGCTGGTTCCATGAGTATAAAATCCAACGAAGACATGCCGGAGCCAAATTTTCTGTTATTGAAGCAGTCCGCGCAGAGATCAAAATCTGCCTGTCATATGCATAACAGAATTGATAAAATATACAACATGAAGTAGAGAAACAAATTGAATTACCATTAATTACCCACATTTTAACAATATATCAATGTTAACTCAACAAACAGACAGATAGTTAAGCAGCTCATTGTTAATAGAAACACTTGAGCTGTCTTGATGAATGCATTCTATATTGTTCACTAGTATTTGAAAAGCTTTCATATATTAATGGCAGCTATTCCGCTTCTCTAGAAATAATGCTTTATGGTTCACATTTGAAATATTTGTTGAAAGGTCCAATACAATTCAGATATTATTCTAAGCAGATACTGCACCATAAAGCCCCAAATGCAATTAACAATATGTCCTTTTCAGGGATATCATGAATAGCAGTTACTGAATAAGATTCTTAGAATCCAAACATGCTAATAATTTAACTCCTCAATGGAGGGAATTAAACTAAAAATACAGTAACAAGTACAGTCATAAAACTGTGTATAGAGGGTCTGTATGTGAGCGCGCGTGCGTGTGTGTTAAGCCTTGACTTTAGAAATTAAAAAAAATAAAATAAAAAGGACTAATGTAACAATCGAACGCGTGTGTGTTAAGCCTTGAATTTAGAAATTTGAAAAGGGACTAAATGTAACAATCAAATTGAACGGGGGAGAGCATTTGTGTGTGGTCTTAGCTTCAAAAGAATGAAAACAGACCAATTGAATTATCAAAGTAAGGTTCACTCCTTCAGTTCCTTTCTAGATTATTTGACTTTTCAATATTTTTGGCAAAAGCAACAAAAAAAACTAATAATGATTCGTTGAATCATGCAATTCACTGATTCATATCAACGATGCGGAATCACACTGATTCAAGTCTGTTCCGCATGTTTTCCTGCCATTTGTGATTCATCACATGATAAGAATTATTGGCTTGCCAAAACTTATGAAATCATGCAATTCTAGTAACTATGGCTAACAACTTTTGTAGAACAGTTTGGGATGGCATAGCATTTGAGTAGAATGATAGGAAAATAACTTACATTAACATACTTAATGTTATACCAAATCTTTAACATATCAATGACTTATTGAGTTCAGATAACAACCTGCTTCTGGCAGTGGTATCGTTTGCGAGAACAATCACCAGAACAAGAGTTGCAATGGTACTCAAGCATCTCAACTGCCGGGCCCTCTTGTTTCACCAACTCTTCAGCGATTGTTGACTCTGGAAACAAACCAGAGGTCATAGCAGGAATCGTTGGGCCAGTCTTTTGAGCAGTAGGTGGACATAATTGGAGAGTTTCAAAGTGATAGAATTTTTCAAGCAAGGAATTCTTTTCTGCTTCCCCATCATCGCTGGTTTTAGCCACAGCAGACTCCGTTGAAGGAAATGGGTGGAAGTTAATTAAACCCCAGTAGTCTAGAAATTCCAGTACCTCTTGCCTAGCATCTAAGTCCCCAATATCAAGCTCCGATAAATCATTCAATTCAATTTGTATGTTTGGATTTGAATGAAATTTCTTCATTATCCAATTCCGTATCTCCATGTATTTATCGGGAGTTCGACTTTCATTTTTTTCATTAAAGAAAGAAGGCACCATACGTTTCTCAATTGGATGGATATTCAACCATGAAAACCAACCTGAAATTCAATTCCAAAGATAAAAATGGATAATTCATGAATGAAGTTTTAGAACTTTTGGCTCAAAACTTAAAATATGCATGCTACGGCTAAATATTGAAAAAGGAAAAAATCAAACACTAGATAAATTTAATCAACATTTTAACCTTTAAGGTTAGGAGCGACGCAAAAGGACATTTGGGTCACCAAGGATTTGCATAACAGTATTACCATAATATTGTTGGGCAACAGAAGCATGATACTTATAACTATATGATAAACATATACAGTTAGAACACATTTGATTCCCTCTTTAGGATATTCAGCATACTTTAATCCCAATAATAAAGATGATGTTTCTTCATTTTGGAGTTGAGAAAATTTTAAAAAAACTAAACACAAATACTCAGTCGGCAGTATGTATGCAATTCGTAGTTGTTTTCCTTTATGGTCTATACGAATTACAAGAACAGTAATCAGGTGGCAAAAGCTCTATTATTAAAGTTGAAAAAATAATTGCAGGGAGTTTACAAGAAGATCTAAAGCATGGAGTCACATTGTCAGTAACTATGTTGCAAAGTAACATAAGGTCAGCCAGGCCTAATAAAATTTAGAATTTAGAAAAACAGCGCATGATTAACAATTCCATGCATAATCCTTCTCTTTTTTCTAATACTATACTTCTAAAATGTAAATTGATAGACAACCTAAAGTTTTCAAACAAGTAAATATACTGGTAACATAGTTTCAATTTTGAATATGGTAGAATTGGAAGGAAAAAGGTAAAAACAGTACCTAACAGAATCCATCATATACACAATTTCAGCTGAATCACTAGTTAGCAGAACCCAAAGTAAACAACAATCGCATACAGTATTCATTCACAGAAAAGAGAAAACTAAACGCAAATAAATTAGGGTTCTGCGATAGGGAGATCAGATCCTGACCACAATGAGTAGGAACGACATGGGCGTTAGTATCACGAGATCTAATTGCTTTGAATTCAGCTTCAATCGAAGCTTCCAGAGACTCCCACTCCCTCTCCTTCTTGAGTTGTTCTGCCGCCGCAGCCGAAGCCTGTGTCTGTGGAGCATGTTTCACCGCGGCGGGGGCAGAAGCGGAACCGGCGATGGTCGAAGTAGACGCGGCGGAGAAATTGTTAGGGATTTGGCGAGCCCTAGTTAAAGGTCCATTATGGAGAGGAAGATGATGAAGAGGCGAGGCTTTCTCGCGAGTAATGCGTTTGGAAGGTGTGGAAGAGGAATTGGAGGCGTTGAGAGAACCGGATTTTCGCTTGTTTCCTCCGGCACGGCGGCGAGATGTTACGGGTTCTGATGCCGGTGCATCGGCGGCGGATGGAGGGCGTTTTTCCTCCATAGAGATTTTAGAGAAACAAAATGAAATGAAATTGTTTTTTTTAAGAGCTTATTTTTTTTCTTTTACTCAATTCATCTCAAGTATTGTACTTCGCTTCCAAACATGAGATTATTACTAATATACGTATCTCTCTCATTTGCTATTTTCAATTCTTCATAGGCATTTCCCTCCTTCCCCACTTCCATAATGCCATTGCTCTCTTTGGGTAAGGTTAGAGTTTAGAGTAAAGGAGAGAAAATTTAGAAAATGTATAAATGATATATAAATAATGTTTAAATATATGGGGAAAATCTAGAGAATTTTATTGGGCCTCTTTTGACACTTTTTAGGGTGATTTATTTATTGAAGCAAAATTACTGCATATCATTCTGTTAGGAATTTTCTCAACTTCGGAAATGTTTGATAGGTATATTTGGTGGTTTGATCCAAACAGTTTTTCTATCAAATCGACTCATGCTAAATTGTTGTGTAATCTTCCTACTGTTAACATTCCAAATTATTTTTTGAAGTCAACATTATATTGCATTTGAAGAGCTAATGTTTCATCTAACATTTAGGTTTTCGCATGGCGTTTCCTCTTTTATCACCTTCAAACCAAAGATGAGTTGGAGAAGAGTGGCGTTATTTCAAGAGTGCACTCTCTTATTTGTCTGCTGTGTTTCGATACAGAAGAATTTCACCACCATCTCTTCTTTACTTCTTGTGTTGCTTCACAAGTTTTTACTTCTGTTTTAGATTGGATTGGCTTGCCCTTTCTTTCTTTTGTTTATGGTGTTATAGCAGATCATTTATTGGTTTTTAATCTGGCTTTAAGAGGTAAAACCAAGAAGAAGTTTAGAATTCTTATTTGGTTAGTTGTTGTTAGGGTCATCTGTTGATTAGAAATGAAACTTTGTTCAATAGGGTATGAAAAGGAACTTGTGATATTGTTTTAGTTGTGAAGATGTTGTCTTGGGACTAGTTTGGGGCTAGATTTAAAAACATCCTTTCTTTTTCTAAAGAAGATTGGTTGGAAAATCCTGTGTTGTATGAGATAGTTCTCTTCTTGTTTTGTATTTGGGTTGAGTATCTTTTTTATTCTTGATCAATACATTAATGCTTATAAAAAATATAATAATATATTTTTTAGCTTCATTATTTTAGATTAAGTTATAAAATATATATCACTTATCTAATATCATATATATTTAAATAAAATATAATGGTTAAATTTATAAATAAAAAATGTTGTCATTTCATTTTTCTATATTACGACATTCTAAACATATCGTTATACTCCATCGGTTTCTTTGGAGGAATTTTTTAAATCCTCTCATTCTCTAAGTTTCTTTGAATTATTCAGATTTACAAAGGGAGTTTTATCTTTTCCTTAGAAGCTTACTTCCAAATAATATTTCGAGAACGCAGTTTACCCTCTTCCTTATTCCTATAAATGCTCTTCCTTGTTCCTATAAATGGTATGCCCTCTTTATCTCATCTAATCAGAAATGATCAATGGTCGGCCACGCATCGTTGGATTGCATCCTTCACCGGAGTTAGGGAGAAAAGGGAGGGTGTACCTGCAAGGCACTTTGATGCTTAAGTGAGTAAAGGATCAAAATGAGAGAGCAAGTATAGAGAAATAGGTGTAGAAAAATAGATACCTGACCCTCTGGTGAAAGAGGGTATTTATAGAGAGACCCCAACGCAGGGCCAACGGTTACATCGTATTGGGTCAGGCTGCCAGGCCTAACCCAAGTAACTGTCAGGGCTTACATGGTGTAGTGAAGACCAGCACGTGGTCTTCGCCTTAGATCAACTGCCCTGTGATCTTCGGAAGGTGGGTTGAGCAACTCTTGCAAAGGTGGGTAGTTGCCTGATGACGTGTCCTCGCGTGGGGGAGCACGTGGAGAACGTGGGGGAAATGTGTGAGTCTCCTTGTCAAGGGAGTTGTCTTCCCGACATATATGGCTTGTGCCCGACATGGGAGAATTGGGCCTTATTGGGCCTCCCTAATGCAGTGTTGGGTTGGGCCTGCCCGACTGGGGGGCAGGTCTGGCCCGGTCCAGAACAGGAGCCCCCTAAGTCGTTGCTCCGAGGCGGAGGAGTGATGACTTAAGGATAAGCCCATGTCGAGGACAGATAGAGAAGGCGGTCATATGCCCAAAAAATAGAGTCGAGAGTCGTGCTCGTCGGAATATCCTGTTGGGGAGGCGAAGAGATGATTGGGGCACTAGCTTTTTTAGCTCGATGGAAAACGAAAGGGAATGGTCAGTCATGTTTTCCACGTGTCAGGTGCCCATTGTCCATCCTAGGGCGGCTAGTTATAGGGGTGCTTGAGTGCCTAGGGGCGCCTCGAGTCCCGTGTTAGGCTTATAAATAGCACTGTACCGCCCCATTTCTCACTTTTCACTCTCTCTCTCTGCTCTTGATGTTAGTTTCTTTCTCTTCTGTCTCTTCAAGTTCAGTGCAGCAACGTCCGCCGTCAGTCATCGTTCCGACCGCTACCTCCGTCGTCCAGAACAACCACTCCAAGTAAGTTTTTTGACTTTTTGTTCCGTCTTTCACCTTTTTCACCTTGTTTTACCTATTTTCCAACGATCCCACGATGGACATGAAGAATGTCCCGGGGAGATCGCAGGGTTTTCGGTGAATACGTTGGGAAACCCTAGAAGAAAAAAGTATGGTTAGGATTAATATCTCGGGGACAAGTGTTGAAGACCCCGGGCAGGTAGGTTGATCATGGATGAGTTCCCCGGGGACAAGTGTTGAAGCCCTCGGGCATATAGGATAGTCTTGATGAGTACCCCGGGGATCCAGGAGGCCTTCGTGGGTGCATTTTGGATAGGGCGCAATTCCCCCTCTAGAATTTTACGCGCCTTCGTCGGGGACCAACGATGTGGGGCCTCGGCGGGGCTGCTCCTGTTTGTCGAGGTGTTAGAGGTCCTGCCTGTGGGGGGTCTCCCCTCTTCGCCTTTTCACTTGATCTGCAGTGGAAGGGTGGATTTGATTCTAAACGTCAAATTCACCAATTTCCTCTACTTTTCAGGTGTAAATGGCTGTTTGGGCCCAAGGAACCGTTGAAATTGACAACAAGCCATATTCTCCGATGGCGCCGACTGGCGAGGAGCACGTGAGATCTCCCAAGGATTGGGTCGGGGAGGAGCCCTTGAGTATCTCCTCTTGCTTTGCTGAGGATGATTTTGGCGCTTTTGCTAACGTCGAGGAGTGTGTCGAGGATTCCATCGTTAACTGGCAGGTATATAAACCACGGGCAATCCACCGGATATGCTCAGCGTACAGGGGGATGTGATTCTCTATGTACGAGTTCACCTTCCGGGAGGCGGGGTTACGCCTGCTCTTCACTGACTTTCATTTAGGGGTCTTTGATTGGCTTCGGTTGTCGCCCTTACAGCTTCATCCCAATGCCATCGCGTTCGTGCGAGCGTACAAGATCGTTTTCCAGTATCTTGGTGTCGGGGCCACACTCCCGCTCTTCTCCCGTATCTTTCACCTCCAAAGACAGGCTATCGATGGCTGACACAACTGGGTGTCTTTAAAGCATCCGAGGAGGCTTTTTCGAGAATATATGGATTCTATTTGGCACTTTAAGGATCGGTGGTACGTCGTTAGACCGGTCACCCACGTGGCCGCATATTCCCTTTTTGACCGTGTTTCCCGTGAAAATTGGTAAACAACCGCTGATCTTCCAAATCTAACATTGGTGACTCACAGGATCGATCAGATTGATCCTAGGACAATTGATTCAAAGTAAATTCTGAAGACTAAACACTTCGACAGTGTTCATAAAGAGAAGTTTATCTAAAAGTATGGTTCGAAAGAAACGCTAAATAAAAAAAAGGCTGAAGACATCAAAGAAAGGCTAAAAAAATAAGACACAATGCTGAAACGTAACTTGCAATAAAGTAAAAGATAAATTTTTGATGAAAAGTTAAAGTAAATTGCATTAAATAAGAAAATGGTGTTTACATCATGTACATTCTCCCAAGACTCTTTTCTCTACACGCATATACTTTGAGTAAATTTGGAGTAACTTGTACAAAGTGAACACCACTAATCATATTTCTAGAACTCCTATTTATAATAACAAAACTAGTTGTTGTTAACTTCCTAAAACAATTAACATATGAGAAGTGTCGCGCTGCATGCTTCTGTCCCTTGGATGTGCGCCATTTGTCTTATTCAGGAGCGGACAAGAATAACTACTCCCTCCTTTATTTGAATTTTGAATTCCCTTAGTGTTGGACATCATCAGTATTCTCGGTCGAAGGTAGCTTCCCAACTCTTAAAAATATTTTCTAAGTCCAAAAAGTATTCTTTCCTTATGTGAGCACCTTTGACTTAAACCTATCATGAAGATCCAGTTGAAAACTCCTTTAAACCTCTTCAAGAGTTTAACATTCCAATCAACACTTCCAACTTAATATGGTCGTCAAATTCTGAGCTAACAAATTGCCCCTCAAAAATTTCCTTTTCGACAGTACTGAAGAAAAAGGTCATTTTTTGATAGTGTCCTATTCGACGCCATCTTTCGCCCCCACATAGGTGTCAACGTAATTGACCAACCCACATCTCAAGAAACTATTCAGTTTATTTTCAATCATATTCATGACCTCATGGCCAATTATGAAAAACAACTCCTTGGAGATCACATCAAATCCCAGACCATCATCACCTCTCCTAGGATCTATAAGATCGTGGGTATAGGTAACAACTGTCACTGCCCTTAATTTTGCTCTTGGGAGGCTACGTGTCCCACTAGCTTTTAGCCCCTAATGATGATTAGTAACCTTTTATTACTTCTACATACTTTATAAATAGATCCTTCCGAAACTATTTTTACTTTTCCAACTCCAAAGCACTCACTAAACACTTTCTTCTCTTTCAAACACTCTTAACTCTTCACCTTTAGTAAACCCATTTTCTTTAAGTCCTTAACAATGGTTTCTTCAACCACTACTACTCAAAATCCAAAGAAAAATCCAAATGTCAAAGGGACA